ACTTTATCCAGTGTCAGGAAAGTTGGGTGTGAGCATGGGGGAATGACGACTGTGGGACGGGATACAGATGTTGCTGTCTGAATTAGCATTTTAAATCTATTGGTGAGAAGCAATGGCAATGGATTAAAGTGCTCATCTGAATGCATCCGGAGTGTTGTTCTGGTGAGAAAAGCGTTCTGGGATAATTTACTAAACTGTAAGGGGACGCAATATGAACAAGGCATGCTTGTTTGTGGAATTCTGGAAGCATTTAACTTCCATATATTGTAGATTTGGATCTGATTCAATCTTGCTGGCACTCTTGAAGCCATTCCACGCATGCGATGACTCACTGATGCCAATTTGAAAAGGACAATACAATGCAAAGTTTCTAATCTAGATTTCTAAATCTAGACTCAGATTATAATGTAGTTGCAAGTAGCTTTTTATTGTACTATTAGTGTAGTGTCCATGGAGTGTATTTAAAGAACAGTCAGAGGATTGTTACAAGATATCAATGGCTTTAAAAGGGTTCAGTGGTGTTTAGAATTGTGCTTGGTTTGTCTGTGGCGAACTATTACATGTGTTTATGATATAAACAGATCAGGCTAATGATCTCTCCCCATAAATGTCATATGGAGTTTTATTTTTTATTTTTACAAAAAACAAATAATTAAAAGTGAGCCATGACAGTTGCTGTCAGGATATTGAAGGAAGATAAAAATATTATATTGTTGCAACGATACTCAGATTTTCAAGCTTGCAGGAGTCTTGATATCTCTAGTAGATGTTGAGTCACTGAGTTTCCTGATTAAAATGTGCATCTGCAAGTATCCTCTTTGGCAGAACTTCAGGAACTTGAGGAAATAAACTGCTTGGTACTTTTGATATGAATGTTGCAGCATTGTTGTAAAGTGAATAATGGTTGTATCTAGCCAATTAGCAATCTAATACCATCCTGTTGTTTGCAGATGTGTTTACAGCATTCCATTGTCTCTCTATAGCAGAAAGGATGACTCTTCTCATTTGTAGTTCTGCAGAGTTGCTAGCTGTGAGTGAGCACATTGTATTTTCTTTACTGATATAGTTAGAACACTTCAGATCTGAAAATCTTATTTATCAATAAAGTTGGTCTAAATAAAATAATTTTCTCCAATTGTAAGCAGTATTTTTCTATAGAGGCAAGACAAATGGTTGCCTTTACTGTATTTGTGTTATTAACTTAACAGTGGCATCTTAAGCAGGTCTACTCAGTGGGGCTTATTCCCAAGATCATTTCTTTTGTTGTTGTTGTTCAGTCGCACAGTTGAGTCCGACTCTTCGCAACCCCATGGACCACATCACGCCAGGCCCTCCTATCTTCTGCCATTCTCCAGAGTTTGTTTAATTTTATGTTCATTTCATTGATAACACTGTCTGACCATCTCATCCTTTGCCGTCCCTTTCTTCTTTTACCTTCAGTCTTTCCCAGCATCAGGGTCTTCTCATTTGGTGGCCAAAGTATTTGAACTTCAGTTTCATTATCTGGCCTTCCAGGGAACAGTCAGGGTTGATTTCTTTTAGGATTGACTGATTTGATCTCCTTGCAGTCCAAGGGACTCTCAAGAGTCTTCTCTAGCACCATAATTCGAAAGCATCTATTCTTCGGTGCTCTCACAGCCATACATTACTACTGGGAATACCATTGCTTTGACCATACAGACTTTTGTTGGCAGAGTGATGTCTCTACTTTTTATTCTGCTGTCTAGGTTTGCCATAGCTTTTCTCCTAAGGAACAGCCACCTTTTAATTTCATGGCTGCAGTCACCGTCTGCAGTGATCTTGGATCCCAGGAACGTGAAGTCTGTCACTGCTTCCACGACTTCCCCTTCTATTTGCCAAGGAGTGATGGGGCCGGATGCCATGATCTTAGTTTTTTTAATGTTGAGTTTCAAGCCAACTTTTATGCTCTCCTCTTTCACCCTGAGCAAGAGGCTCCTTGGTACTGCACTGTGAATGTCCCCTGGAATCAGTGATGTGGGTTTTCTGGGAAAAAACCAAACTAGAATTGGAGTTAACGTGTTTATTTTTACTTATATTTTAGTAAACCAAATTTAAAAGTTTGTTGTTATTTTTAAATCCCAATATCAGCTATTACTGCAGTTTTGATTCAGGGGGAAAAATCAAATATATATGGTTTAAAAGTTATATTCAAACAAATTGAAAGCTTTATATGGATATTATTTTAATTGGATTAATACCTGTAAAAATTTACAGGCAATATAGCATACATTTGCCTTACACTCTAAGAAACCCCAAAGATGCTGAATGCTGTTGATATACTAATTTCAGCACACCCAGTAAGCTATGCACAATGGATGCGGTTATCCTCTAGCTGTTTCACCAGAGTTCATCTGTCTTCCACGGAGGTCACTGGGGCATCTCATCACTTGTGTTACTTGTAAGTTCGGTATCAGTCTGGTGATCACAATATTCCTTTCACCTTGTAAGAGTAAACATAGAAATAAGAATTTTAGCTTTAGTTCTGAGACTTCCTCAGCCAGTCAGAGGAATTCATAACTTCATTTTTGTAAAATGTAGGTTATTATCTTTATTTGTGATTTTTATCCCTTCACCACCACAGATTACAAATCAATAAAATTTACGTGCATTCTCGCACACAATTCCTAGGGATAATCACCTGAAAAACATGAATTACAACTTTAAAAATGCAAAGGTTGCCTAATATTGTATTGGTAGAGTGACATCCATTTGTTGTATTGATCTTATGAAACTAAGGATCTTTAGAAATAGATAATTTTCTATGGAAAAATAAAACACTGAAATTTGTTCTTCAGGAAAACTACCTGACATCTCTGTGTAGAATGTGACTTTGCTCTGGAACTCTGGAATGGTGACTGTGGTTGTTAAGGCAAATAAGTGGTTATAGGCACTACCCTCTTGGACGGTCACCTTCGGATCAGCCTTGTTGTCTTTATTTTCCTGAAATAACTGTTTTTGTAAAGAAGAGAAGAAGGAGAAGAGAAGAGATTGGATTTATACCCCGCCCTTCACTTGGAGTCTCAGAGCGGCTTACAAACTCCTTTCCCTTCCCCTCCCCACAACAGACACCCTGTGAGGTGGGTGGGGCTGAGAGAACTCTGACACAAACTGCTCTTTTTCAAGGACAGCTGTGCCAGAGCTTGTGACTGACCCAAGGTCACATCAGCAGGTGCAAGTGGAGGAGTGGGGAATCAAACCCGGTTCTCCCAGATTAGAGTCCACACACTTAACCACTACACCACACTGGCTCTCCTACACCAAACTGGCTCTCCTACAACAAAGGCTTTATTCTGTTGCATTTTAGGATCTGCTTTCATATGTGACACATTTGCTTAGAAAAAGATCTGTCTGATGTCCAGAACTCTGAGGGAAGGTGACAGTGTAAACTGAGTTATGGATGGAAACCAAAGTGATTTCTATGGATGAAGGGACTGTAAAAAAAATGTATCCAGGGTTGTGGGAATACATGCAGCTTGTTTCTATAGGTATTCTGTTCACAGTGAGCCTTCAAGAGGGGAGGGAAAGGTAGCTGCTTTCAGAATGTGAATTGGACTTTAGAAGCATGTCTTGCAAGGATGGAAATAAAGCAAGTATTTTGTGGGATCAAGTAATAAAAGGTTTAGGTAAAGCAGCTTATACTGTGTAATGGACAGATAGAATACCATTTTCCGGGTATAAAGGAGAAGACTGACTTGGGAGGGTTCTTGTCGAAGGTAAAAATGGGAACTTTATGTGTGTGTGAGACTCAGTAGTGCTGCTGAACTTTTGTTCATGTGTTTGTGTACTGAGCTGGTTAACCTATCTTTAAATCTTCTAGTAATTCAATAGAACTGTTGCACAGACTTTGTGAATTAGAAATGTGCATCTCCTTATAATCCTGTCAGTTTCACACAGCAGTGTGTAGAAAAAAGATTTTTTTTTAATCAAGAAATTTCTCAATAAAATACAAGCCTGACTCTGTACTTGTTAATCTTGTTGTGCCAGGCCTCGACAAATCCTAGTCACTGTGGGCCACAGATGGCACCTCCCCCATCTGGTTCATCACTTGTACATCCATCTGGAGGCCAGCGCCCTGCCCCCTTTGTATGCTGCATGGCATGCTGAATATGCCCCAGGGAACTCCCCAGCTTCTTGCAAGGCTTTATTGTGAGATGTTTGGGTGGAGGCTGGAAATGCCTGCTGCTGTGAGTGGATCTAACACCAGGCTGGTGGTTGGTTCCCAGCCGTGTTCCAAATAGGAGGCACTCATCAAGATGAAGGTACAAACTTGGCAGCTCCTCAGGGTAGATCCCAGCTCCTAGGGGCTCTGTGAACATTTCTCTGTGCCACCACTTAGTCCCAGCAATTAGTACTATCTTGGCTCCTGGTGAAAACATTGCCTACCCGAAAGTGAGTTAGGGGCTTGGAGAGAAAAGGAGGCCATGAAGTGCACTGCCCAAGGGTATTTGGACACAGATGCTCTGGGCAGTATCATGCCACCCCCTTTAAAGCTTTAAAGGTTGCCGCTAAACTGCAGCAATAGATGGCTATCAGATCAGTTCTGCTAAAGCACCATACTAATGGTAATGCATTAACTAAGCTTCACCAGACTTATAACTGTGTAAAGAAAAAATTACATATATTTAGGAGAGGAGCTGTAACTTTAGTATAAGCAGGGCATCTTGTATTCATACCCTGGTGCTGCTCCCAATTGGGTCTCTAAGGGATCAGCTTTACTTGGTCTTTCCCTCTCCCTCCCTCCCTCCCTCCCTCTCTCTCTCTCTCTCTCTCAGAAAAATAGTCTGGCTCCTAAATTTTTTGGTTGGCTCCTCGATCTAAAGAAAGTTTGTCGGCCTAGTTTATACAAGTAGTTCCCTAAAAGAACTTACTGATACTTTTCGTAAGTATAGCCATGTGTGTTTCTCTCATCCTGTGGTTTTGATTCTACTTTTGTTCTCTTAATTTTTTCTCTTTTAATTCTTTGCTCATCTTTTTTCCAGCGGTATTCACCTGAGTTTGGAATGAGAGCACACTCGAATCCCACACCAGATAATCAAGATGCAAAGAGAGTGAGTAAAGAATCACTGTATTCTCTGTACATTATCATTCACTGTACATTATCATTCTTGGTAATATATTATTTAAAAGGTAAAGGTTTCCCTTTCTCGAAAGCTAGTTGAATCCAACTCTGGGGTGTGTGTGCTCATCTCTGTTTCCAAGCCGAAGAGCCAACGCTGTCAAAAGACTTCTTTGTGGTCATATGGCTGGCATGACTAAACCTCAAGGCACATGGAACGCTGTTACCTTTCCACCAAAGCAGTATACATTTATCTACTTGCAATTTCCTGCTTTCGAACTGCTGAACTACAGACCTCCTGGTCTGCAGCTCAGCATCTTAACCTTTAAGCCATCGCAGCCCAATATTAATATCAGAATCAGTGATGGAAAGCTGGTCAAACATGCATTTTGTGAATTTCAGTACTCTGTAGCAAGGCAGAAATTAAAACATAATTGCTCAAAATGTTAAAATCATGTAAAGTTAGATTATTCATTGTTAATGTTATGATTTGAACTAGACTGTACCGTCAATATAATCAGTAATAGGCCCTAGGCATTTCTTTTGTAGTGATTGTGATTGTATTTAGAACATAAATACGCAGAAGAATATTTGGAGGTGTATGTAAAGGTCTGTCCCGAGAACTGTTTTTTACCATTATGTTTAGATACTTTGAGAGGCAAATTTTTCAAAAACATTTGGCTTCGACCAAGAAAACCCTCTTTGGGTAGGGTCTGCAAAATAGTCTGGTGGCATACATATTAGTCTCCTGTGTATCTTCAGGCTGGAATATTTAGAAGGAAAGGAAGCACTTGGAACCCTTTGAACAGAAGGAGAAACTAATACTTTAGTCCTAAAATGTTATCTATATGTCCCAGTGATTTTGCTGGATTAGGATTTTTTTTGACAGTGGAAAGGTAGAGATATTTTTAACACACAAATATCTTTAGTTTTAAGATGGGAAAACTGTGTTGTCCAAGAGAATCTTTGAGAAAGAAAAGGTACTGGCATTTTTGCAGCCTCAGAATTAGAGCTGTTTGTTTTATAAAATTCTTTTAGATACACTCTTGAATTTTACTAGTTACTTCCTTCACTGGAAACGTCCGTTGATGGATCCGGAGCTGTTAACTCAAACAGATTTTATTGGCATTGCAAGTATTCAGGCACTCCCAAAATACATGAGAGAGACTCCTGTGGTATCGCTCAGAGAATGAGCAGTGGGAGCATCAGGAGAATTCAAGTCCCTTCATTACAATGTCACTGCTAGTTATCAACTCTAGCAGCAGGTAGTTGGGTAGAATCTCCTTGGATTGGGCACAATAGCTTATTATCTGAGATGATGCTGTGGTAGTAAAGCAAGAGGAGTTCTTGTGCTGTGACTTTAGATGAGAAGGGCATAAGTACAGTCTAGTAATGTCAAAAAGGACTTTTCTTTTGCTTGCCTATCCTTGGGGCATGGGACCTGAAAAGTATCAGTATGAGATTTTCCCATGTTACACTTGCTGAGTATAGTGGAGTAAACTTCAGGTAACTGAAATTGAAGTCCTAGTTCAGTAATTTATGTGAGTTGCTAGTTGCAATTGCTTGGAAGTGCGATTTTATATTGTCGATTATGCCATGTAGTCTGCTAACGAAATGATTTCTATGCAGGGATTTGCAGCAGTTCAGTTCGCTAATTTTATGTATGGGCTGTAGCCCCCTGGAAGCCGCCCTGAGCCTGCTTGCGGGGAGGGCGGGGTAAAAATGTTTAAAAATAAAATAAATAAATAAATAATTTTGACGTTTTCTGCCAGTTAATTTGACCTTTTAACCTGGTTGGATGCTTATCTGTGTTTCAGTGCTCATGAGTTGATAATTCAGCACAGTTTTGCACATTGTTATTTTCTGCACTGAGATGAATATATGACGGTGTCTTATATGAGTCAGGCCACTGGTCTTATCAAGGTCAGTTTTGTCTACTTTGACTAGCAGTGGCTCTCCAGGGTTTGGGATAGTCTTCATATCACGTATTAGCTAATCCTTTTAACTAGAGAAGCTGAGGCTTGGGCCTATGACTTCCACGTGTAAAATAGATGCTCTGCCACTGTCATGGCCCCTCCCTGAAGATAATCTTCATGTAGGAAGAAATATTTACTGTGTGAAGCTTGGTGAGTTTTTCCTGAGTGCTGTGGGTTCACTGGTCTTCTTTCATTCTTTCCAGTCCTGTACTAATAGAAACTCCACTTATTATGATTGCTGCAGAAAGCACAGATTTGTACTGGTGTAATCCTCAACAAACATGTTGGAGTCCACAAATCTAGTGGCTAGCAGTGATGGCCCTCTGCAGCTATCTCTGCATTAATGCCTAGCACAATTCTTTTCTCCTCTGAGGTCTTTTGAAATAGACAGTTTGGAGGGACATGTCCCAGATTTTGGAGACTGCCTCTCCCCTGGGTCCTCTCTGCATGCACAGAGGTCTTAGACAGGGGGAGTCAGCATGTCATTAACAGCAGGCATTGGGGGAAGGGAGAGCAATTAATGGAATAGCTCCTGCTATTTCTGCAGTTTAGCACCAAGTTACAGAAAAGACCCTGCTATTCCTCCATCTTTTCTCCATGAACAGGGAACCTGGGATAGGAGTCTGGTGTCACTGTGCTGAACTTCAGTGAAGGCAGAAGCAGTGCAAGTAATTTGTGTTGTTACTACTTCTCCAAAGTCCAGTACATAGTGGGATCATCCCTCAAGGGCATACCATAAATTCAGGGTAGGGGAATAGTTGGTGATCTGAAATCTAGCTTAAAATTTGTGGGGCCCTTTAAACATTTAATGTGCGGGCATAGCACATAGCTGTCCATGCATATTTCAGTACCAGCATGCATACATGTGTGAAAGGTAGTGTTTCTTGGTGGTGTGTACTTGTCTGTGATAGCCACATGTTAAGTGTTTGCTGTGAAATGTGTTTTCTTCTGTCATGTCCAGTCATTTTCTTGTGGAGATTACTACTGTTTTCCTTAGCAGTAGCAGGCATAATATATGGAACAGTTCCCAGCTGATGTATAGGACAGGGATTCCTGAATTCTTCGATTCTCTTTTCCTTGTGGCCACATTCCAAAGGGTTGTATGGCTGTACTCAGATGTCACAAACCAGCCAACCATGATTCATGAAAAGAACAAGCCAAACAGCCCTCAGGCTCGTGTGCTGCTTCCCTCACATGCTACACTGAGGCCCCGGTCACACGAGCAGGAAACCGCGGGGGGGAAGCGTGGCAGTGTGCCCCGGGGCAAACTAAGGCGCCGTTACCTGACCAGACCTCCCGTGGAGGTACCGTGGAGATCCCGTGGGAAGGGAGAGGTGTCGATCGCAGCACAATCCCGCGCGCAAAAACGAAGCGCGCGGTTCGGCAAACTGGATAGTTTTTTTTCCTGTACAGCACGACTGTGCATGCTCGGTAGGGTGCTTTTGCGCATCCACGAAGACCTGGGGGAAAAAACGTTTTCGCGAGGACGGGAACATGGGCGGGCGCCGGATGCCTCCGGAAACGCGATCCGACGCCTGCCCTTGCCCCGCGGCTTCCGGATACTAGTACCTCCGAGGTACTAGTATTTTGCTGCGCGGTTTCAGCGGGAAGCCTCGTTTGAGCCCCGGGTGTGCTACGCTTCCCAGATGTGCTGGTGGGATCGCGTCCGGAAACTCCGCATGTCTTCCGTCTGACTAGGGTGGCTAATGTTCCGTGTGACCGCAGCCTCAGATTAAGTATTTCCTAGTTTAGGAATCCTTCAGTCTAACAGCAACTTGTTGTGATGTCCAGATAGAGGACCACCATGTGGCTGGAGGGCATGTTTTCCAGCAGTTCAGCATTGCTGAAGCTCAGCAGTTGCTTATCTTTTCAGTGCTTGGATGGGAAACCTCCAAGGAACCCTATAATATGGACTTGAGCTCTAACTGTGGAAAGACAGTGGTTAAGTACATATAATAAATGTTAACAAATCACAGTTTGTTTCTTGTTTGCAAACGTCTTTGAACCATGTTTTAAAATCACAGCTTGTTGGCAAAGAAGCACAAACAATGGTTTGTTGCCAAATCCAGATATTGCAACAAATTAAATTGAAGACCTCATAAACAAGGAAGTTTAACCTTGTTGTGATGTATAAGGTAGAAGAAAGGAGAGCATGTAGGCATGATGAGCCCAAGAATTTCTGGCTTGTTCTCATGTAAACAAATAGTGATTTGTTTGTGACATCTGAATGCAGTCTATGTTATGAGGAAGAGGGAAGAGCCTGAGTGACAAAGAGACAGAAAAAGAGTGTATAAGATTAGAGAGGGAGAAAGGTCTGGAAAAAGGAAGTATCCTGAAGGTGAGGATCCTGAAGGGGTAGAAAAATAAAGGGGATTTAGCAAAAAAATGGGGTCTGAAGGATGGAAAAATGAAGGGCAGGAAGCTGCAGTGGTGTATACCAATCTAATAAGCCTGCCTGTAAGCATCTAAGGTACCTACACCATGGTATAAGTTGTCCTTGGGTAATTAGTGCTGGAACCATGACCTGGATAGCCCAGATTAGCCCGATCTCAGAAGCTAAGCAGAGTTGGCTAGTATTTGGATGGGAGATCTCCAAGGAACATCAAGGTCATGATGCAGAGACAGGCAATAGCAAACCACCTTGTCTCTTGCCTTGAAAATCCTATGGGCTCGCCATAAGTCAGCTGTGATATGATGGCACTTTCCACCACCAATTAGTCTTGGAACTCAGCAAGTTGAAAATACCTGCTGTGTTGGAAGAAGCCTAAATGCTTTGACCTCATAATTCTGAGTAAGTGTGGATGCTTTCTTCATCATCTGGGTAGATTATCTGTCCACAGTGAATTTTGTTTAGATGAAACAAATTAATCCAAATACAAGCTGTTAAAATGTTGGGCGTTCTCTTGCCTAGACTTGGCACTGACTCTGCTAGTGACTTTTTTTTTTGTCAGTCTTACAGCCCTGTATTCCTATACCATTTCCCCTTATTCCTTTTCTGCAGCAGAATTGTCGTACCTTATCCTTATCTGGTCATGTTGGTTTTGATAGTTTACCAGATCAATTGGTTAACAAATCAATCCATCAGGGTTTCTGCTTCAATATTCTCTGTATCGGTGAGTAACCTTTCCATGGTTGTAGCAATGTGAGTTATAAAACAAATTGTCTTGTTATAAAGTTTATAGTGGTGATACATGATAAAGTTATTACCACCTTCTGTTAGATATTGACTGCAAGATAGTCAAGTGACATCGTAATTTATAATTATTTCACGCTGTCTGCACAATCAGTTTTTGATTACCTTTTTATTGGTTACTGCTACATTATGGTTAGCAGCAAATGAGTGATAATCTATCATATTCCTCATTTATTCATATGGTTTCCAGCCTTGTTTGAAATATGTGGATGTACATCATGTATTTTAACATGAAGTACTTTATGATTATCATGTTTAATTTAATTAATGGAGATGTTGGTCCATTTCTTTTTATACAAAGCTTCTACTTTGGGTAGAATGCTTGTCAGGGCTAAGTGAAGTCAGAAAAATATACACAAGAGTTCTTTAAAAAAATTCATTTTTTTTGGCCCAGAATAATGTGATTTTAGGAATCTTACTGTATTCCCTCATGTGTAATCTAACCACAAAAAAGTAGAGGGAGTGGGGTGGGGCATGGCTGATATGGTTTAGGGCCAGGATGAAAGAGGGGAGGGATTTGTATGAACCCAGACTGCTTTAAGGCCCAGTAGGGAGAAAAATCAAGTATCGGTATTGTGCAGTATTACAGCTCCAATCCATAGCTGCTTCCCTAGACTTCTGCAGATAAATAATACATTAGGAGTCTCATCATGGATTCCCAGTTCCACATGACATTAGGTTTTATATGACGCAGTTGGTAGCCCTGTGTTTGAGAATGTATCGTGTAGGTGGCTCTAACTGTGGCCATAAATTTAGGTTGTCTTTCTAAGCAGCCAGTATCCATGCAGATACAATGCTTAGTTGAGGCTGAAGGGAGTTAAACCAGAACTTCAAGGAAACATTCAAGCCTTAGAGATTTGCAGAAGATGCCAATCAGATGCCCCATCAGATGTGCCAATCATACTGTGCCCACTCACCAAGTGGCCTTCAGGACCAGAGCTGAGCAATACCAGCTTTATCCCATCCCTTATTTATTTAGGAAATTTAACATTCTGAATACAAGAAATAGCCGGTGGAGCTATTTTGTTGTGATAAGCTGTTCCCAAGATCTATGTGATGTGAAAAAAGGAGAAACTTTCTAGCAGAGTTGGTTTCTTCTAGAGTAGAATTGTTTTACAGTGGGTTCATAACTTGTTCTTGATGTTGACCAATCTGCTGTGAATCACTGAAGGTTGGCTGCTTTTCCCATGTAGTGAGGAGAATAGGGCTGAAGTGAAACTGAAGGGGAAAGAGAAGTAGAAGTATAAATTTGGGTGTTTGCGTGTGTGCAGACTGATACATGAACTTATGGGCAGCTCTGAGGTTCAGAAGAGTCATGGTTAATAAGGGAAAAGGGAGAAATATGAGCTACTGGCAGCTGTAGTTTGGCCCTAAGTTACAGTAAATGATGCATTATTTTCTAACGGGAGAAATACAGTCATTTTCGTTAGGATAGAGTGCAGTTTGCATGATTATTTTGTGATGTAAATCCACATTTTAATTTCTGTAATTTTAGGTGAGACAGGACTTGGAAAATCAACCTTGATTGATAGTTTGTTTAATACAAGTTTTGATGACCGCATGTCAACACACTTTCAGCCGAACGTAAGACTTAAAGCTCAGACATATGAGCTTCAGGAAAGCAATGTTCGGTTGAAGTTGACCATTATAAGAACAATTGGATTTGGTGACCAGATAAACAAAGATGATAGGTTAGTATCTCCTTGCTCAGATAATTGCATCTGAAATTACACAGTGAAATGCCGTCAAAGTTCTGACATTTTATGTCTTGTAGTGATATTGATACGGATATTGATGTTCAGTTTTTGTAGAGATACCTGTAAACCAGAGTGAGAGTGTGTTTCTTGTTGTGCAGCAGGTTCTACTTTTTCTCACCTTTGCTCCTGTACAAACATGTATCCCTGACTTCAAAGTGACTGAAAAATGGAGGAAAGGCAACAGGCAGGCAGCTTTGTTTTAGGTATTTTTTCCCCTTTCCAAAGTACACATGAAGTTGCCTTATATTGATCCATCAAAGTCAGTATTGTCTAAGTGAACAGGCAGCACCTCTCCAAGGTCTTAGATGTTTTTCACATCACCTACTACCTGATCCTTTCAGCTAGAGATGCCAGTATGCCACCTGCAGTATGCCACTGATGCTTGGACCTTCTCCATCCCTCTCAAGTATCTGCCTGGTTAATCTGATTAAGTGCACTGGACACTTTTTCCCCAAGTTCTTTAAGGCAGCTTCTTGACTGATTAAAAAAAGCCAGCCAGTTGGTACACAACATGGCTTGGAAAAGGGAGGCAGTTCCTTTGTGGCTGATACAAGGGCCACCCAGGCAGCTGTGTTCCAACCTGGCTTCCTTTCTCAAAGGAAGTTCTTCAAGCCTAATTCTCAGCATTTAGACTTTTTATATGCTGCAGCTACAGTGAGAAAGCTTCCACAGTGGACCCACTGCTGAATTAATGCTCATCTGTTTGCAGCCTTCATTAACAATTATACAAGCTGTGTTAGGTTTTCCATTGTTTGTTTCTTATTAAGATTGGTCATATTTGTTGATCTGTATGCTCATTATATTAGTCAATTTTTTGTTTTGCTCTATGAAACTCCCGCCAGTACCTGAAAAAGAGCCCCGCCAAGCTTGCTCAAAGGCTTGCACGTGCTCAGTGAAATTTCTGAGTGTTTTCATTGAATCCACATGCCCTATCGGAATCTGAGTTTGAAATATCCCTCATTTAAAGGAGTTGGTCATGGGACAGTTGGCCGTTTGAAGAAAAAAACTTGTTTGTGGGGCCAGAACAATTTTTTTGAATTCTGGCCATTTTCTTGGAAGTAATTAACTTCCAAACAATTAGCCCAATCCCATGAAAGTTAATGATGCCTAGTTACTACTATGAACGAAGCTAAAGCACCCTTTGAACTCATAAGTGCGAATCCCTATGAAAACGTTAAACTTGTGATAACAATATTCTAATCAAGCAGGTCATTGGTACACTTTATAGTTTTTTGATTGAGTGATAATAATTCCTTAAAAATAAGATTGATCTTATCCTATTGTTATTTTCTGACCATCTGGTAGCTTGTGTATAACAGTTAATGTGAATGAAACCCTTTACCTGCTTTAATGCTATCTTTTCTCCTCCCAGCTATCAGCCGATAGTGGATTATATAGATGCACAGTTTGAAGCCTATCTCCAGGAAGAGCTGAAAATTAAACGCTCCTTATATAATTACCACGACACTCGCATCCATGTGTGCCTTTACTGCATTTCTCCCACAGGGCATTCACTTAAAACTCTGGATTTATTAACCATGAAAAATCTTGATAGCAAGGTAAGATTTTTAATGACTTTTATCATGTACGGACTAGTAAATTCCATTTCATTGTATCTGAGGAAGTTCATACCTTGAATAAAACTTTGTTCATCTTAAAGGTGCCATTGGATTCAAACTTTGTTCTGCTACTTCAGACCAACATGGCTACCCACCTGGATTTAGCAAAACTAGTTGAACTTCACTGTTACAGCTTTGTCTCTTACTCTTCACACAGGATCTTTTAAAAGATAGTAGCATCAGCATGACATTTTACCTACAATTAGTAGTTTTGTGATGTATCGTGTTACTGGTAAGACTGAAAGAAAGTTTCAGTAAAAATGAACATTGCAGATCATAAAGGTGAAGTTGAGTAAGCTGTCCTTTATCCAAAGTTTTTTTAAATGCAGTTGGTCACTTTGAATCTGTTATTATGAACAGAGCTGTATAATTGGGTGATTTATTTATTTACATTGTTTATACTCTGCCTTTTGCACTGGGACTCAAGGCAGATTACATAGTGTAAGTCAAATACGATCAACAGGTTGGGACATCCAGTGAACAGTGCAATGGGGTTTGAACTAGAGATCTTGATCAGACTTGCAGCTCTAAAAAAATGTAGAAAGTGCTGATCAATGATGGTGTTCAGTCCGTAACTGGATTCAGTCCAATACAGCAGAGATTAAAAGCGTAACAAGGCTCTTTATAGATTGTTGAGGTTGGTTAGGATCTGGTTGGATTAAAGCTGGAACATTTTTAGGTTCTAATGGGTAATTGTGGTATGGTTCTATTTGTAATTGTACAGTGGAACATCAATTTCTTTATGTTATTTGTATAATGTTACATTTCTTTTTGTGGTTTCATTGTTTTGAATTGTTTAATAAAATTTTAAAAGTTAGAGAAATAGCAAAAAAGATAATAATTACATCTGGTATGGAGAAAGACTAGCTTTTCCTTCAGTGCCTTCACAATCACAGTACCAATAATCTAGGAATATTTATATCCTAGATGTATGTCTGCCTTTTAAGGATATGTCCTCCTCATACTAATACTTCACTACAGACACATAGGTAATCTGAAAGTCATATCTCTGGCTGCAGTCTTAAGCACACTTACTAGCAGGGGTCTTGTTGTAGAAAAAGAGCTGCCGGAGCTCATTAGCATAACTCATTAGCATAACTTATTTGCATATGCCACGCCCCCTGACATCACCGGAAGTGACAGAAGGCCACACACCCTGACATCACGCTTACTAGAGAGTAAGTCCCATTAAACTAATTGAGACTTCCTTCTGAGTATACATGCTTAGGAATGTATGGCAGGTCAAATAAAAATGTTTTCTTAAATTGTATAAATTATCAAAATAGCTGTGAACAACTATATAAACTGCCTTTCGACATGCTAGTGAGCTGATAGCATCCCCCATACCAGATGTTGCAAAGATGCACTGTAGTGAAAGACAATGACAATCATTCATTATTTATACTGTCCAGTTTGTGTGGTAGCTTAATACAATTGCACTTCATATTCAGTGAGGCAGCTGTAAGAAAAGAAATGGAACTAGCTGGTACCAACGAACTGCATATCTGTGACCTAAACAACGTGTTGCTTACTGGCAATGCCAGCTGTTGGCAAAGTCTACTGTTAACTGTTTGCTTTTAAGTATGTGACCTTTATAATCAGATAAAATTAAAACAGTTTTAATGGCTTTCGGAATTTAAATTAATTTCTCAGAGTTTCTGCTTCAGACAAGAGATCTTTTGTTATTTGATTACATTTCTAAAGATTTACAATCTCTCTGTGTGGTGGGAGGCTGCATCAATACAGCCTAATGAAAAATGGATTAATTTAAGGGGGCTACATTCGACAGAATGTATGACTTGCTGTCTTGTTGTGTATTCTAAGTGAAGCCCTGTTGTGGGTTGTCATATTATCTGATCCACATTTGAGGTTATGACTGCCAATGAGACCCAATGGGTGTGTTGAACTCTTTTTTTTTTTTTGCAGCCTATGGCAGGTAGACCTCTGTTAGCACATGGGGTGCTTTATATGCCATTGCTAACCATGAGACAGCCCTGCTCCTGTGCATGCGCATATATATATATACACACACACACATAGATATAGATATATATAGATATAGATATAGATAGATATAGATGGATAGATAGATATAGATAGATATAGATTGATAGATATAGATAGATATAGATGGATGGATAGATGGAGAGATAGAGATAGAGATAGATAGATAGATATAGAGTGTGTGTGTGTGTGTGTGTGTGTGTGTGTGGCCCTTCACAGATCTCTCTGTTGACCTATGTCTACTTCCAGCTTAGATCCAGGTGGGGCAGCCGTGTTGGTCTGAAGCAGCAGAACAAAGTTTGGTCCAGTGGCACCTTTAAGACCAACAGAGTTTTATTCAAGGTTCGAGATTCTGTGTGCATGTACAGTGGACTCAAACATTGTTCGACTACTTCCAGCGTATTTATTTATTTTTGATTTCTAATGGTTTACTAAATGTTGTAGCTGTTCTGGGCAGAGCTGTAGCATTTACTTCAGCATTTTTTTCTGCTGTCATCTCATAGTACGAGATGTCCAATGCTAATTAAAGTAACTGCATATCATACTTTTAAGATCAAATATCATTAACTAAAGCAAGTACTCCTTAGAGGGAGTGAAAATTTAATTTTAAGGACAGAGTTGCATGTGTTTTAAAATAATAAATCATAGTGCTCCAGCTAGTTCTATGTAAAGCGATGAATTTTCTAAAGCTGCACTTTTATTACCATTAATTAATGATCCTAAATATATGTAATTACAACTCTAGGGCAATAATCTGAGCAAGATTAACCCCTAATTTGTTTGCCAGTCATTTTTGCCCCAGACCTGTTTGGATTCAGCCTTTTTGACTGTTCACTGTAGCGTAGTTCTCACTGAGACAAGAAACCTGCGTCAGACTGCAGCTGAAAGCTCACATCCAAGGTTATAATTGCTTATATGATGCTGACTCTCCCAAAATTCCCAGTACATAAAAATTTGGCATGTCAGTGAAAATGCTTGGCTAAAACTCTTCCTACCGACATCTCATTTTTCTGTGTGCAAAGATTTGTTGTTGTATGGAGGAGTCCTTATTAGCACAAGCCCCTAGCTGCAGCCAGGTGGTACAGCCCCATCTCTGGTTTATTGTCTCATTGAGGGTTATGCGATATTGAACCAGTTAGAAGTTAACTCCAGAAATGTACTGTTTGTTTGTTGTTTGTTTATTGGATTTGTATCCTGCCCTCCCCGCATAGCAGGCTCAGAGCAGGTTCCATTACACACGATAACCAATATACAATATGCAAATACTTAAAAACAATTAAAACTTTCAATAAAATACCTGCTGTATTTTGCTTTGTTTGCACATTATACATGTCTGGCTTCAGTTACTGCACTGTTCTTGGGGCTCTCACCCATTTAAGCAATAAATTGCCTGGTTGGTTTTTCCCCCCAAAACCCACAAAAAACAATAAGATACAACAACATTCCTATGGTACAGATCATGGTCAAAGCCTCGTAAAGGTAAAGATTCCCTTGCTCGAAAGCCAGTCGAATCCGACTCTCCGTTTCAAAGCCGAAGAGCCAGCACTGTCCAAAGACGTTTCCGTGGTCATGTGGCCGGCATGACTAAACACCCAAGGCGCACGGAACGCTGTTACCTTCCCACGGAAGTGGTACCTATTTATCTACTTGCAATTTCTTGCTTTCGAACTGCTAGGTTGGCAGGAGCTGAAACTAGAGACGGGAGCTCACTCCGTCATGCGGCACCCGGGTCTCGAACTGCTGAACTACTGACCTTCCACAGCCTGCAGTTCAGCGTCTTAACCACTTGAGCCACCGCAGCTCCTCAAAGCCTCATAGATGCAGTTTATTTTGAGTTTTGGGTTCTTAGATGATAATATAGATCTGACCCACTGAGGAGAGGCCCAATAGAGAGGGGAGGGCCACCCACTGCCCTTACTAAAAGCCTAGTGGAAAAGCTCCATCTTGCAGGCCCTGCGGAACTGTAAAAGGTCCTGCAGGGCCCTGATCTCATATAGAGCTCATTCCACTAGGTAGGGGCCAGGGCTGAGAAGGCCCTGGCCCTAGTCAAGGCAAGACGGACGTGCCTGGGGATGGGGACCACCAGAAGATGTTGGTTGGCAGATCATAAAGCCCTTCAGTGATCATATACCCTGTTTCCCCGAAAATAAGACCTACCCCAAAAATAAGCCCTAGCAGGATTTCTATGCATTTGTGGTATAAGCCCTAGTGTGTCTTTAGGAAAAATAAATATAAGACAGTGTCTTATTTTCGGGGAAACACGGTAGGCTCTAGCAAGATCTAATAGGTAACCAGTAGCACAGTAAATACATCTGTTTTATGGAGTTATGTCTTGATGTGTTGAGATGCGCAGTTTAATTTTCTGCTGTAGATAAGCCACACTATAAATAACCTTGTAACCTTATGTATGGCAGTTTTAATCAGTATTTAATCACTGAGAGCAAGCTAATACTATTGTAGAGAAATAAGTGTTTACTTAAACCTATGGAATAATTAATGAGAGAGACAGAGCAATGGTGCCTTCCTTTTGTGACAGGCTGCCTTTAAGTCTCAGACAAATCTGTGTTCTAAAAAAAGTACAAATTATTTTAATCAGTGTACAATTTTGTATTAAAAATAGTAGGTGAAATTGAAAGCAGTAGCTCATTTGACAAACCACATAGGTTTTGATAATTTGTTGTGTTTTTGCTACTGTTAAAAAAAATCACACGAGAACCTGTTTTATTAGTCCAGATTGCAACAAAATGCTTAGTGAGCGGAAAAGCAGGGAGAGGTCATGGCTGGAGGATTAGGATGGCATGGCCCCTTCCAGTCCCTCCCTCACCTCCACCCATTCACACGATGCCAACCAACCTCCATAACTTGAATTTCTCATGTGGCATAACTAGAGACATTCCTATGTAAAAGATATGGTGTCATAAAGAGCCCTGCTGGCTAGCTAGAAACCCAGTATAAAAATAGATATGGAAGATTTAGATTTAATGTTTGACCTTTTTGTGGCTGCTTACAAAAAAAACATCTACGAGTATGGAAAGATTACAAAATGGGCATTATATTACAAATAACAATAAATTGTTGAACTGAATGGCAGAGAGACAAGAAAGCTAGCTTTCCACACTATGCAACCCCATATTGAATATTTAGAGGTATTCCAGAAAGGTCTGTAGGAGCTTGAAGACATTGTCCATTTTGCAGAGGTGGTGTGTTGTAATACGTTTGCATTGTAAATTAAGAGGGCACAACAACAGCTTCTTGCAGAAATGTGACTTGTCTTTAATTGCTAATGATAGCACAGTTTGGATAGAATTAACACTGAAATATTGCCTGTTCTGCTTTTAAAACTGTACTAAAAATCTTCTTATTAATATGATATTAATATAGGCCAGTGTTAAAATAAGTTATATACCTGAATGGAAGCCACATGCACAGTGGGTTTTCTTCTATTTGTTTCTCTTTTCTCACACTGCTTAATAGGTACATTGCTATTTAAAAAGCAGCTTGCCTCTTTATTGTTTATTTACAAAATGTGTATCCTGCCAGCTAACAATTTAAAACATACACGGTAAAATTACTATGAAACTATTAAAATTATCACCCCTCCCAAACCCACTTCTTTAAAAGAACTTTAAAAAGAGTTTTAAAAAACAGTTAAATACATATAAAACAGTTAAAATACTCATGTAAGTAGTGAGAACTGTTGTACCTAAAGTGTTTAGAAAAATTACAATGCTGTAAATGTCTTGTGTCTTTAATAGGTGAATATTATTCCAGTTATAGCGAAAGCCGATGCACTTTCTAAATCCGAACTGCAGAAGTTTAAGATCAAAATAATGAGTGAACTGGTCAGTAATGGAGTCCAGATATATCAGTTTCCAACAGATGATGAGGGCATTGCTAAGATCAATGCCACCATGAATGTAAGTACTTGATTGAACTTGCACATCTTCAGAATGATGGTGGTGAAAAGTGCCATCAAGTCACAGCTGACTTATGGCAACCCCATGGGGTTTTCAATGCAAGAGACGTTCAGAGGTGATTTGCCATTGCCTCTGCGTCATGACCCTGGTATTCCTTGGAGGTCTCCCATCCAAATACTAGCTAGGGCTGACCTTGCTTAACTTCAGGCTAGCCTGTGCTATCCTGGTCAGGGGGTCTTCAAAATATATGTAAATGTTTCACTGTTTGGCATTACTGTGCTGATCATTTGGGGTTCCTCTAAGCTGTATAAATGCTAGCATTTATTACAGCTGTTGTGTTTGACCTTTTAAAATAGCCTTTCCAAAACCGAATTACTATCAGGTAGTAAGATTGCCACCTATAAAAGATTGGTCGCAAGTAGATAATACTATGAAATGAGATCATCAAGAGATTTTAAATTAGACTTTTGGAAATTTAATTTGGTTTCAAGAAAGAGATTAAGAAATATCTGTCAGATGTCTTCAGTTTTCTTTTCATTAATTGTTTTGTAAAACATAAATATATACTTCAGGACTTTCCCTGTTAAATTGTTTGTTTTATAATTAATTAATTGTGATGATATTTGGTTTTATGGGGGGAACAAGTCCAGCTGTATTGGTTTTATTAATCTAGAGAACTTTCTTGATGGGGACATGGTCTTATCGCAGAAATAAGTAGAAGACATAATTGGGGAGTTTAGACCCCTGTTATTTCAGTTCATTCAAATCTGAAATGTTGTTAGGGAAATGGTTGGAGAAACAATTTTCCTTTAGGATTTGTAATGAAAGTTAATGTCACTGAAATCTTATTATAGTTGAAAGGTACTCTGGAAATGTTCATAAGAAATGGAAAAAATAGATACATCTGCTACAGGAAGCTAGTAGAAATCTACAAGTCTTTCTAAGCCAGTTTGGTGTAGTGGTTAGGAGCGCTGACTGTAACCTGGGAGAACCAGGTTTGATTCCCCCCTCCTCCACATGTAGCTGCTGGTGTGATGAGTCAGTCACAAGTTCTTTCAGAGCTGTTCTCTCAAGGGCAGTTCTTGGGAGAGCTCTCTCAGCCCCACCTACCTCACAGGGTGTCTGTTGTGGGGAGGGGAAGGGAAAGGGATTGTAAGCCGCTCTGAGACTTCTTCGGGTAGTGAAGGGCAGGGTATAAATCCAGTGTGTTCTTCTTCTAAATTTGTATCATCTGATTAAGGAAAAGTTTAACAAGATGCTGTTCCAGTGGTCCTTGATGCTTTATAAAACTTCATATAAAATTGAGTCATATAATTCAGTCCTAGATATCTGTTGGAGATGTCATAGACAGCAGGCAGTTTATTAGTATAGTCTGTGCTTCCCTGATTTAAGGAGAGATGTTTGGATTGCCTTCTGAAGCCTGTAGCCCTAAAGAATCCTCCCATGGTTTATTAGTTTCTTCTGAGACATCTGAACCGAATGCTCATTTTAAAAATTCAGCAAGAGTTCCTCTTAAGGGGTTTATGCTGGTCTGTCCTCTTAGTGTATTGCCATCAGTAGAGCACCTTCAGTTGATACGATGTTAGGGTTTTTTTATTTTTTGAAGGATATTTATTTATTTAAAAGATTTATTAGCTGCCTTTCTCCCTTGTGGAACTCAAAATGGCTTACAATATTAATAAAACATTATAAACTCACACATGCACACACAATAAAAGCATCAATCGTAAAAAGAATCGAAAGTTAGCAAATTAATATGAAGAGCTCAGAGCTGTCCCAGGATTCATATGAATATTAAGTCTTGTTTTCGTATGCCCTATGAATTGTTTCTTCCAAGTTTATGTCCTCCAGAAAAGGAATCCACACAAGACAGGTATGTAAAGGGCTCTGAAGTTCTAATGAGTAAGACATCAATTATTAGGAACACAGGAACAAAGATCTAGTCGCTTCCCTGCCCTTGACTGGTGGCTGCTGTGGGAGGTGGAGAAGCCAACCCAACAGCACCTACATTTTGAGGCTGGGTGGTCAGGAAGCACGCATGGCACATGTGACCCAGCTGCAGTCAGGTTTGTGGGAGCTCCTAATGTCTTGTGAGAACTGGTAGTCTTGTGGCAATATGTGAATGGGCAGAGAGTTTGCAGAGCTTAAAACAGGCTGGGAGGAAGCCAGGCTGGACTGGACTGGCTACCCACTCCAGGCTGCTCAGGACAGAGGCCAGCAGAAGGAAGAGGGCATGAGTGCTTTACAGACTTCCTCCTGGTCTGAAGCCTAGTGGTTTTGGGGATATGACTTGTGGTCAGATCATGCTTATGGGAAAAGCCCCAAGCAAGAGGGCAGGGCCAGGGACCCTAGATCTCTACCACTAGTGATTGAAGAAAGTTATACTGGATGCCTGTAGAATGTGGCAAAAGATCCAACTCATGGGACTATAGCTTACTGGTTGAGGGAGACAGTTAACAAAGCAGCCTTTGGAGAAGATCTCCATTTGTAGGACTTTAGGATATAAATGCCACAAAGGAGTGATTAGTTTGACTGGTACAGTCTTCTATATGTGGGGTGTTCCACACTTGCCCCACAACTTGTTTAAGTTGATTGATAAGTTTGACTTTCAGTTTAAAGCCTGTATATATAAACAAGCAAGATGAGAATTTTCTTGCTTTTCCAATTTCATGTGAAGATAGGGAGCTATTTCTCAGTTAAGAAAGAAAAATCAGAAAACTGACCTAGCATTACACAAAATATCAAGGCTGCCTTATCTATACCTAGAGGAATAGGAAAGTAGATTTTTTTCCCTTTTTCTGGATATTTTTTCAAATGGTACCCCAGAATTCTTTGAAAAACTCGACAGTACATATATTACACTATTTTTAGATAGTAATTAGGGTATATATTATATTTTGGAACTTTTTATTTCATTATTCTGGTTACCAGAAATACATATTTATTAGCTCATGTTTCTTAGGGACATTTGCCATTTGCTGTAGTGGGGAGTACAGAAGAGATAAAGATTGGAAACAAAACAGTAAAAGCTCGCCAGTATCCTTGGGGCATTGTGCAAGGTAAATGAGAACTTGTATTCTTAGTTATCCACAATTAGATTCCTTAGGCTGTCAACAGATTACAGTTCCTTTATCCGGTTAACTGTCTGCCGCTTAACTGATTAACTTTACATTTTGCAATACCTTAATAAGTATAGTTTTTTGAAGTTCTTGAATGAAGACAGCATATTTTTATCAAATTTGTGATAAGCAAATAATGTTTTGGATTTTGTGGTTTGTGAAACCAGTAGAGCTGATAGTGCTGTGAGTCAGTTTTCCAGTCAGTGTTCTTCAGCAATGATTTTCATGGTCAAGCCTACCTGAAGTTAAAACTTGAACAGACTAATTAGTGTTCATATGAAAATCTTGTACCTTAATCATCCCTTTTATCAAAAGGGATGATCCCATGAACAGATGGCAACTTGCTTTGCTGTTCTAAACAGCTCCTTAGTTTTTTGGCTGGTTTGTGCCTCACAGTAATGCTAAATGTAAATAAATCTTGTTGTGGGACCAGATTTCCAGTTACTTAAGTGTATAGACTTAAGTTCATTAGAGACAAAGGAATAATCTTCAGAGATGGATTTTATGCTGTTTTTCACGCTTTTTTTACTAGTCTGTCAATTTTTAACAGTTTTACATTGTAAGCTACCTCATGCAGGTTGCGTGTAGAGGTAGCATAGCAATGTTGTAAATAAATATGCTTGTCATTTTCCTTCTTGAGTTAGGAGAGATAGACAAGTGGATGGAGGGTTGCCAGCTCTGAGCTGGGAAATGCCTGGAGATTTTGTGGGTGGAGACTGAGGAGGGCGGGGTTTGGGGAGGGGAGGGACTTCAGTGGGGTATAATGCCATAGAGTCCACCCTCCAAAGTGGCCATTTTCTCCAGGCGAACATCTGTTGCCTGGAGATCAGTTGTAATAGCGGGAGATCTCCAGCCACCGCCTGGAGGCTGGCAACCCTAATAATGTAAGTGTCAATGGTACACTTAAAACATTTTCTTTCATTTCTTAGTGGAAAGTGAGAATCACTGTGATTTTGTGAAGCTCCGTGAGATGCTGATTTGTACAAATATGGAAGATCTGAGAGAGCAGACTCACATGCGCCATTATGAGCTGTACCGGCGCTGTAAATTGGAGGAGATGGGTTTCCAAGACACAGGCCCAGAAAACCAGCCTGTCAGGTAAAACTGTGAATCTTTGCTCTGTCTCAGTTTTGATAGAATTTATTCAGTCTCTTCCTTGTAGCATCACAAGGCAAAAACAGATCATTTTAAAACTTATCAACAGAAAAATTTGTATTTGAAGTGATGGTTGAAAACCTAAAGAGAAGCTATAGCATTTTACTTTTAACACTGATATCATTCTGAATCATAAGTTTGTGGTCCCACTCACCATTTCAGTAGTGGCTAGGTAATGAAAGACATCAAGAGTTAGAGGAGGTTGAATTCGCTGGGAGGTAGCTTACTTTGGCCAGAGTGTTAGATTAATGGCCAAGCAAGGGTTGTGGGGCTGAATGTTGCCCTGCAGGCTGTGTTCTCTCTGGCTTGTCAGGTGGTGGAGAGCGTGCTTAATGAACTGTTCTTGCCTTCAGTGGTTGTACAACAGTGCTGGTACCTAAATAAGTGGCTGACACAATTGGAAAAGGAATTTGTAGTCAAGAATGGCTTCTGCAAAGGGTGGTGGTTGCCGGTGAATTGTTGAGTGTTCAAGCACTCATCTTATTTGTATTCTCATTTATTTTCAGATCAGGTACACCTAAAGATCTTTTCTGATTTTTTTTCCAGAAATCCTTTTGGCAGTCCCAGTTCTTCACTCATGTGCACTATCTTCTTTTCCTTTTCTTTTGTCTTTACATCTAATGTAAGTAGCTATGTTCTTTCTAACATTTCTCTCTAATGTTTCTCTTTTATCCTTCCTTAGTTCTACTCTTTCTGTCCTGTTACTAATATCTGAAAAAGAAGCTGTACTACAAATGCCCTTCAAGATCAGAAAGAGCTGAAGCAATGATTAAATAGATTGACAACACTTTTAACTGGCTAGATTTCTTGCCCTGAAGGTACTGATGGGTATCGGTGATAATGCAAGATAGGCTTTTCCAGAATCTTGTAGAGTTGATGGAAATACCAGTTGTTGTTATGCTGCATAAAAGAAGCAAGTATTTTAATAAACATGCACCAACTTATCCTGTGTTATACAAAAGGTATCTTAAGGGTAATCTGTTTAAACTGTGGCCAGCGATAGGATTGCCAAGATTTAAGATAGTTCCAGACAGATGCTGTTCTTAGTTTCTGTAAGACCAGGGAAGGAAATTCCACAACTGCCTGGGCAATTGTTGCAGACTTCAGCAGTTCTTAGTAAATGAATGATTTACACTTGAAGCAGGAGTTGTTTTGGTAAACACAGAGAAACATAATTGACTGCATTTTTCAGTGCATGTCTACTGTGTGTTTATAGACCCGCTTCTTTCCTTCGTACTTGAATTTTTCTATTTCAAATGCTGGCATACATATGACTGCAATGTAATTTGGATTAACTGTTAAGAGCATGTCTGCACTACATTTTGATATCTCAGTTCTAAGAAGGTACTGCTATACATGGGATCTGCTTAAAGATTCATTAACTGAGTCTTAATGTATATTTGCTTTCCATGTCAGTACTGGAAAACTTGAGAATTAATTTGGGTACAGCTTGACTATGCTGAAAATGGTATTGCTTTGAAGCTAAGCTTCACCCCTGGGGAAAATAGAAATCCTGCAATTTTTCTACAACAAAGTTTCTCCCTAAGAGAAGCTGGCTGTGGCCTTGTACTTGCCCCTGTCTAGGTTGTAGTTTATCGCTTCACCAGATAATGGTGAACTAGCTTCCAGTTCATCAGATTAATGTGGTTGGTTCTAACTAGGCAGCCATGTATATAACAGCAAAGCCAAAGGACCAGGAAATACAGGATGAGACATAATTATGTAAAATTCTAATGTAATCAAGAAAAGTACAGATACTATTCACAGTAGCAGTAATTAGTGATAACACAGTCTTGCTAGGTTTGTTAATCTGGGTAACACCTGTAAAGAATAAGCAATCCCAACTCCTTGGGAGATGGTATCAGACTATGATGAATTGCAGTTTTCTGCTGGAGTCTCCCTTTGAAATCCTTTTGCTGAAGAAGCATGATTTTTAGATAGCAACCATTTCTCCTGGGAGGGTGAAATGTTTTCTCCCATTGATTTCTGAATATTACCATTTTTCATAGCAGATTTGTGTTGGTTTATTCTTTTGTGTAGGAAATGAGCTCTTGATCCTGTGTAAAGAGCAGTAAGGCATTATCAGTACATGATGGCCTGTATCACATTGGATGATGATCCCTAGGTAGAACACATTTCACATTAATAGTATTGCCTGAGTGGATATGGGGACAGTTCTCATTTGGCTTTCCCTTAGTTTGTGTCCCTATTAATATTATTTTTATTTGATGATCCATTGTTGTTGGCAAGATGCTGTTCTTGAGTTGGGAGTCTGTAAGCAAGGAAAAGCCAACCATCCAATGCTTTTGAAAAAGAAGTTCCATTATCCAGGATGGGCTGTAGATCACTGGTGATTTGTTGAACTTGTGTCTGCCAGCTGTTTTTGTAGTATGTGATTGTTCCCCCCCCCTTTAGGTTCTTGAGTATTGTTTTCTCAAGAATGCCTGATGGTAAATCCTTACGGTGTGATTCACTATCCAAGGAACTGGAATGATTGTCTCCAGCTAAGCACTATATTGCAAGTGCAATCGACTTTGTTGTATGCTTATGATGGTTAAAGAAAGTGTGTAAGTGAATGTAGTTGTAGCTTGCCTTTTGATATAAGAAGGTGTTTATGTGTTGTTTGTGTGGTAGTACAGTGGTGTCCAGAAAACTGACTTGTTTTGTTGACTGGTTAGGTCTCAGATTCATGGTGGGATGGAAATTAAATCCTGGTGGAATCTCTCAGAGTCTTCATTCCCATCTGTTTGTTTTTAATCTTCAAACAATTTTTCAGAGTCAGATTTTTCCATGAAATCTTCAGTTGTCGCTGTGGCTGGCCCTGTTGTGTGGATTTGTTAACCCACACAGAAGTAAGACCTTCAACTGTTAGATACAGGGCTATTAGGAAGTTTGTTCTCTAGTGATATCTATTAAATAGCCCAAAATAGGTTTGGTTTTAGAAGAGAGTTTCTGTCATTTGAGAAGTTGTATGTTCAGCAGAGCACTGTCTGTTGAAATTGACAATGTGATATGATTGATATCTTATGATTCATTTGGTATGCCTGGTCAGTCCAATGCCGATAGGGAATTTTTGGCTGAGTTGCTTGTGTTTATAACAGCTACTTAGTGTAAATATATAGTAATTGCTTGAAAAGAGAGAAACCCTAAAGCAGCTGCACCAGCCTTGAGCTAAAATTGTCAGAAAATCGGCAGCTCCCTTTTTTACTGTGCAATTACTAGTCGCAGGCATTTGAGCTCCAGCAAGTTGCAAAGCAGCTTTAATTTCTGTTGAGCTGAGAATATAGCCACCACCTGCCCCATTCGTCCTGCAGATCTGATAACACTGGTTTAGTACTTGTAGACTTGGAACATCCTAAAAATGTAGTGGGTTTTATTTCTTCAAATGCAGTATAAAGTGGTTCTTTGGCACTTGATTTTTTGTACTGGCTTTCCATATGCAGGAAGTAATTAAGGAGCTAGGGTGGGTGAAGCATATAATGCATTCTGTCATTCACTGGCTAAATGACCTTAGTGGGACTAATTTGGAATCTCCACATTCAGAGGCACTAATCCTCTGAATTCCAGAGCCAGGAGGCAACATCAGAGGAAGGCCTCAGCCTCTGTGCCCTGTTGTTGGCCATCCAGAGGAACTGGTTGGCCACTGTGCGAGACAGGATGCTGGACTAGATGGACTATTGGTCTGATCTAGCAGTGCTCTTCTTATGTTATAGACTAGGCTTCCTTACTCATTTCAGCATGACAGAATCACTGTTAAGGTTTGCATCCATTTAGAATTTCTCATGCACACGTTAGAAATTGCTCAGGAAGCGAGGCAGCAACTAATCAGGGCTCCCTTCAGTATAGGATTGAGTTGCCAAGACTGCTTTTGTGGATGTTTGCCGGAAGACGTCTTATACATTGGGTGTGTAATTAATGTAATATGTTTGCACAGGATATATGTACTATTAATTTGTGTTGAGAGACAAAAGTACAAGAAGTTATCCAGGCTTCCTGGTCTAAAGCTGAGTTTCTGTTTTTATCTGATTTCCATATTCTTCTCAAATACCTGTGACATTACTCTAACCTCTCCCAACTGGATTTTAAAATGTAATTACCATTACCCACTTGATGGGTTGCTTTGTTCTTATTTTTGGACATCATTTTTCGGTGCCTATACTTGTCAACAGAAAGAAAAATTCAGTTAGGAACAAGATTTAATTGTGCTTACATCTTAAGTATTTAAAATGCTGATTGTTGCATAGAAAGCAGTTGAGGTATGATCTGGGAATACCCAATGTAACTAAAATATAACAAATTCATGTTTGTTTCGGCATTGTATAATAAATATTTATTTTGTTATGGAATGTATTGTTCAAGAATAAGAGTGGGTCAGTTAGCTGTAATCATAGAAATAACAGTTTGGAAGGGATTGAAAAGCTTCATCTTCCAAAGCTGAAGTCTGTCTTCATATATCACAAAATGGAATGGTGGGAGAGGAGAAATCCTATCCTTCTGCTCGCCTGTTCAGATGCTCCTGTGCTTTTCTCAGATATAATTTTATTGTATAAGGAGGGTTCAAGGAGGTGTATACTACCTCCCACTTCTGTCCTCACAACAGTCCTATGAGGTACACATCTTGAGTATGTACTAAACTGCAAACTCAGAATTTTAAATGAAATATGTGGTTTTGTCAGTGGTATTACATTTCCATAGGAAAAGTGGAAATTCATTTGAACTGTGGAAATAATAAATGACAGTATTTGAATAGCACCAAATGTCCCATATCTGTAGTGAATAAGAATAAAATTGGGCTCTTTGAATAGCAGCAGAACTTGATGGATGTGTCCTGGGAAGAACCTTTATTTTTAGGGTCCCAATACAAAAACCTTATACAGATAGCCAAATGACAGCTCACAGAGGAGGGTCTGGACAAATTTGATGTCTGGTAATGGATATTTCAATTTTATATTAAAGAACTGACAGAGTGGTTTTCCGTAACCTGATAATGCCATGATTCCAGCACCAGTTCTGAGCTTAAATCACCTTAAACGAAAGGCTTGTAGCTGTGTATTGATCTTATACATAATTTAATTTGATAGTCAACATTTTCTTTTTTCTTTTAATTAATTATCATCCACGGTATCTGAGATGCCTGCTGCATCAAAGCATCCTTTAGCACTCTTGCCAATACAGAGCAGCTAGCGGTGAGTTAAATTCCTGATGGACAGATGACTATTAGAGAGAGAGCTTTCAGTTTGGGAAGAAGTTGTGGTCTTGCAAACCTGTTCAATAGCCAGAGGGTGAAGATGCTGTAACTGATGTCATAATCTTTCTCTAGGATGGGTGAAATAAGTTGATGAGCGTGGAGACTGGTCACTCTTGATGTGGAACAGGACATCACTATGGGTGAATTAAATCCAAAGTGTAATACTACATTAACTTAATGTCATGGCACAGAAGGATCAGTAGCCTCTTAACAGTAGAGTTGCTTTTGTTTTTAGCTGACAAAATGTTTTTTGTTTTTTTTTTAATGAAAAGACACCTTTCCTGTTTGACATTTTCATGAGTGGAAGACTGGGAACAGTTCCAGCGTCTGCCTTTGTATTTATTGCAGTGAGACTGAAATCCTCTTTCAACATTTCAGCATTTTAAGATCAGCAAATTCATTGTTTGCTTCATTCAAAATTGCTTGTCAAACTAGAAACTGGCTTTGTGCTGGTAACAGTCACGAGAGCATATAAAACTGTCAGTGTGCCAGAAGAGAAGGGCACCTCTAGCAGTCTGAGAGGAAGCTTTAACACTCTGCTCTTAAGATCAGAGGAAAGAACACAAATTGGCTTGTAGATAAGAAGAACTGAAATCACATGATCACCCACGCAGTGTGCTTTGTCTACCAAATTGAATTATTCCTTTGAATTATTCCTTTATCTTCTAGCTCATATCACTGCATGCTTCATCAAAACATTCAGCATTCCTAAAGTGGGTCTACCATTTGCCATGAGAAAATACCGTGTATGTGGTAATGTAGCTGTGACAGACAGTAAATGGTTAATGCTGTAACCTGGTCTGAGAACCTTATGTAACAGGGGATTCAAGTGGAATTTTTCAGTTGAGAGTGTCAGTTAGGAGTTGGGAGCTGACAGTTAACAGTGAGAGACCAAAGCAGACTGTGAGAGGATCAAGAAGGATCCTGAGTTAGGGAAGTGGAAAGTGTAGCCCATCCCTAAAGTCTGAAGGAAATAACTCCTAGAAGATGGGGGTGATCCCTAGCCAGTGGATAAGGAAGGTAACTGGAACTTGTGTGAATGTTCGTGCTTGTGTATTTAAGCAGAAACTGCCAAGAAATCGCTCTCCTCAAGATTTAAATACCTGTCTGAATAACAGAAACAGTTACTTGTTTGTGACAAATTATCTGGTTTCATTTTTATACAAAGTTGCCTCATTTCTGTTGCCTGTTTACCTCATAAGTCCTAAACCTGATTTCTGCCTGACCATTTCCCCTCAAAAGTGAAATAAAGCAGTCAGTTAGTTTAGATTTTCCATCATCCTCTCATGTGCCATTATAAAGCAAGGACAAAAGAAGGATTTTAGTTTCTCCCCTCAGTTTCCAAGGCTCGGTTAGCATTTATCAATATACTTTCAAACAACTGGGCGGGACAGCCAGAGAAAAGTGAAGGAGAAAGAAAAAAGGGCTGCTTCGCTAAGAACAATATAAAGGTAGGAAGACAAAATTGTCATAGCAGCTGTCTGCACAAACGATTTCCCTGTATGTACAGTGGAGCATGCTAGGGTGGTAGTATTCAAATACACAGTGTTCCCACAGTCTTTTTCCTCAAAAAGGGAATGGAAATATCCAGAAATTGATATGTTGGGCTTCTTGGATGTACCCTATAATGTAGTTATATGGTGAAATGAGTGAAGAGACTTCCTTGATAAAGGATTTAGGTTCTTGGTAGTATTAAATAGTAAGGGTTAGATCTAAAGATGTCTTCCACTCGTGAAAGCCTGTCTTCTGTGTTGTGTGAAAAGTATTGTTCAAGAATGCTAAAACCAAACTGTGCATGGTGCTCCTTACTTCCAACCTGCTTCTGCAAAAGGATATCTTGGTTAATGAACCTCTTGCCAGCTTTTGATGCCTGGAGAATCAACAAGTATTAATGAGTATCATCAGTCAGGGCAACCAAGGATGTTTCTATCCCAAATCTTTGTCTGAATTCAGATTGAAATAGGTTGATGCAATCCATTGCCTAAAGCTGCATAGCCTTCAGTCACTTGAGCATCTTACCCAAGAACGGAATGTCGGTCCGCTGAGTGGTAGTTATTTAGGTTATTCAGGCCCAGGGGCACATTCTTCAGGGAGGGGTCTGACATCCAATTCTTTTGAAGTAATCCTAACATCACCATTCCTCAGAGAGATATTTATTACTTTGTAGACTCACTTGATTCAGCATAGCTAAATAGTATCAGCTATGAGGGGCAAACATATAGGCTGGACGTGATGAGCTGCATTCTTCTAAGCATTTCATCAGGCCTTGCCAACTGAAAGTCATCCATACATCTAGGACCAACCTGTGCCCCAATACCATCCTGAGATGGAATGAACCAACGGTGGCATCTAGGTAGTGGCGGATGAGAGCAGTTTTTATCCACAAAATGCATGGGGGGGGGGGGAATCATGGCCATCCTGTAGGTTTTCTGAGCCTATATGCAGCCTGATGTAGAAACTCCTTCACAACGCAAAAGAGCTCCAACGAACAGCATTATGGAGCCATCGGTGTATAACAAATGTTTTAAAATAATAATAAATCTAAAAATATTTTAGGTGTAGCAACAGTTAGAGTGAATTCAGAATTTCAGTATACTAACTCAGAACAGTAAAAAAATTGGGACAAGCTTCTTGGTTCCCATTACAACTTTTGAGAAGATAAAGTGAGCCATGTGCACCATGGTTATTGCATGAACACCCATGAAAGCCCCCTTATACCGAATCAATCTGTTGATCTTATTGAGGTCACCGTTAGGTACTCTGACTGGCAGCTACTCTCTCGGGTGACAGAACATCTCAAGTGAAGCCTTTCAAAAGACTTTGGAGCGTCTTCATTAAGACCAAATGTAAAAGAATATTTACCATCTTGTAATAAGTTCAGTATCTTGTGTGCTTCCATCTCCTTAATTATCCTTGGAACTGCAAAAGGTGCTTGGTACAGAATAAATGAAAGGCTGTCTGTGCTTTTTGAAACATAATAGTAGTAAACTGGGGTAAGATTGCAGTCAAATGAACTGATGACTTTCCCTTTTAAACGTACCCGTGAACGTTGATTCAAAGAAATGAAAACCTACAAAAACTGGTATATGAGTGAAGTGTGGCAGGAACGGCTTGCTTCATGTCCTCTTACCATATGATAAAGGTTGTTTGCATTTTATGGCTTCTAGTGTACAGGAGACTTACGAAGCTAAGTGGCATGAATTTCTTGAGGAGTTTCAACAAAAAGAAGAAGGGATGAGGCAGACGATGGTGCAGAGGGTCAAAGAAAAAGAAGCGTTGCTGAAAGAAGCAGAGCGAGAAGTAAGAATGCCTCTTTTTGTGCTCTCTTTGGGTTTGTCCTGGTAGTATGGACAGATCCAATAATGTATATTTAACAATAAAAGAGTAAACGTGCAGGGGGTGTAGAGACCAGCATGCACAGCCGGCACCATGGAGAAATTCTAAGCGGTCCTACTCAAAAGTAAGACCAATGTTATTCACTGGAGCTTACTCCTGAGACAGTGTTCTTAGGATCACCTATGTTTGCTGTTCCTGCTGTTGGAGAGAGAAGCTGTGTTTCAGGTAGTAGCTTGACTCTTCAGCTTTAAAAGCTGCAGCAACAAAAGCACCACATAGAGCTATAGCCCGGCGTTCTGTTCTCTTCCCCTGTACGTGCGGCCCTGTCTTTGAGTCTGCCATGGAAGGGAATGGCCGTGGTCAGGATTACCAGATTCTGATCTGGGTGCAAGTCTGATGGGGATATGCTCTGTGGAGGAACAAAAGCCCGAGAAGACCACATGCCAACTGAATCCTGGTGATGTTTTGAAGGCTTCCAGGGCTGCACTCACTGGGCACCACAGAACCTTGTTTCCAGCCCACTGCCAATCTTAGCTATGATAGCTGCTAGAAACCAAGTCGAAGTATACACTTTGGCTGTACAGACAGAGAGGGAAGAAGTGGGGGTCACTTAGTAGCATTGGTAGGTTATACATTTCTCCTTCCCGCATGTTTATTGCCCACATTGTGCACCACGAACGTTTGGCTAACGCAGATCTGTTTGACTGAGAAGGAGCAATCCAGTTAATAATTTTATTAGAACATTTGTTTCCTTGCCACAGTGCTGTCAGGAATCTGTCCGCCTTTTCTTCTAAGCCATCTGCTGTGGTAGAAAACTATAACCCTGAGGATTGCAGGACATGGCACTTGAATGTGGTACTGTAGCAAGTGGGGAGAAATTTGCTATCGATATAGCATCTCTCTTGCTTGTTTTTTTCTTTTGTATTTTTTGCATTTGTGTGTGTGTGGGGGGGGTGCGCCTGTGCCTGGCAGTCATGGTGACCTCTGGCAACTCCTACTGGGGGCATGGGTATTCCTTGGTATTCCTTGGAGGTCTCCCATCCAAATACCTGCCAGAGTTGGCCCTGCTTAGCTTCCGAGACCTGACAAGATCAGGCTTGCCTGGGATATCCAGTTCAGGACTCTCTCTTGCTATTTTCTGTGAAAAGAAGGTGGAAAAGAAATGAGACTTTTACAGGAGCTTCAGTTTCAGTCTGAGAACAGCTTCCCTGAAATCAGTAGGCTTCTCTTTGCTTTATGAAGATGAGATAGCATTTCATGTGCCTTTCCTTTTTGTTAGTTTGTTTCAGAAGTTATAGTATGATTTATTTTGTGTGTGTGTTATTTTGAGATTGTACATTAAAGAAAATTAAGTCAAGTCTTATTTAACAGAGAAAAGCTGAAATGTGGTGGAATATGTTGTAGGCAGCAGTATAAACTAGCATGTCCTGATGAATGATGTAAAGGTTTGACAAATGATCGAACAAGATCAACAGGAGTGAACCTTCCTTACCTGGCTGTTAATTGTTGACCCATAGCCACAGTTTCATTCACAAAGAATGGGGACCAGAAATCCTGCAGATTATTGCTGTCTTTTCCATTTACCAAAGATTTCTTATGGTATATTCCTTATGTGGTATCTTCCTCTCATAGAGGATATGTCCTTTGGAGGCTACTAGCCATGGTGAGTGAAGGGAACCTCCATATACAGTGGCAGCACACCTCTGAATACCAAGGCAACTGCCTGGTCTCTGTGTAAAACACTGTGCTGGAGTAGATGGACTGCCGGTATGATCCAGTAGGGTTCTTCTTATGCTCTTATAAAAGGCTTAATAAAATTACTAATCTGTGTTTGCCACTAAAACCATTTAAGGCATTAGGTTTATGAAAAGGTTATGTTTGCACTTTTGTGTGAGGATCAATAATTTATGAGCTGAGTATGGACATGCTGAGAATTAGTCTCCCCAAGTGGATTCAGTGATACACTACCACCTTGTGGCAGAATTGAAATTTTTGTTCTGCTTTTTATAGCTGCAAGTGAAGTTTGAGCATCTGAAGCGACTTCACCAGGAAGAAAGGATGAAAGTGGAAGAGAAAAGAAGGCTTCTGGAAGAGGAGATTATGGCATTCAATAAAAGAAAAGCTGCCTCAGATATACTGCATGGGCAGGCTCTTGTCTCAACACCCACTGTTACTTTAAAAAAAGATAAGGAACGCAAGAAGTAAGTAGTCTATCCCATATATTTTAGAATTTAATAGTACAAAAAACCCTTTTCAATTCAGACAAGCCTTTTAGGCAATATTAACATATGAGCCATGCGTGGGGCAAGTTTGATTGACAGTCATTCTGTTTTGAATTGTTTGAGATAATCTTGTTATTTTCAAGCGCTTTTTATGAGAACTCTCTTTATTTTTCCCCCCAAGGGATCAAGGTTTTCGACTTGAGCTCCTATGTTTTGATGTGAGAGATCAGGAAGTTGTGAATGCACAGGAAGCGAGAGAGAGAGAGAAGTTAGAAAGGGAAAGACTCGCTCACAGGGAACACAACAAATAGTATTTGGAAGCAAAGTACAAATGTAATGTGGTTAGGGTACGTTAGTCTTCAAAGATGCAGAAAACAGAATTGATCCTTAACTAATGATGTCTTTAACTCTTGCAGTTTCTTCAGCTTTTTTCATTCCTAGTAACGTTGCTGAAATTTACAGCAGAGGTCTCAGTATTCTAGTCATGGCAGAAAATGTTGCAGATTTATGAACAACAAACAACCTTGTGTTTTGTGAAATGGGATGTGGAAACTGTTACACTCTCTGGATTGGATCCATCCAACTTTTTCTGCTGGTGAAAATGGGTGGATGGTGGTTCCCCAGCTACGGTTACCAACCTCCAGGTACCTCCAGGTACCTGGAGATCTCCTGGGATTGCAGCTGATCTCCAGGCGACAGAGATCAGTTCACCTGGAGAAAATGGCCGCTTTGGATGGTGGACTCTTCAAAACTATACTCATTGAAGTCCCTCCCCTCCCCTCCCCAAACCCTGCCCTCCTTAGGCTCCACCCCCCAAATCTCCAGGTGTTTCCCAACCCAAAGCTGGCAACCCTACCCCCAACCATCAGAGATGCTAATCTTGGAATCATAGGACCTATGTGGATGAAAGGCTTGCGTGATGAGGGCTGGAGTGAGGGGGGTGGGGGAATTAGGTGAGACTTAGTGAAAAAGTAGGCTGGATCCAGCTCACAGTTCTCTTCAAAATCCCATTAATTATTCAGGAATAAATTGTCTGTCCAAGACTGAAGACAGAACTCAGTTATATTAAAGCCACTGTGAGGGTATGTGTGCATTATGCACCCTGAAGTGCAGTTCCTAACAACTTAAAAAAGGAAATTGAAAGTTTAAATATGGGATTGGTTATAAATCTTGTACATGCCACCAGTGACTAACTGAAAAAAATATTTCTGTTCTTTATGAAAATTGCTAAGATGATGTCAGATTATAGCAAGAGAATACATAAACATTTTCCCCAGAAAACTGAATTTTATTTGTACATTACTAGAATAAATAATTCAGTAATTTAAAAAATCCAATGTCATAAATTGATAGTTTTGTTAGTTTTGTATTACAAGAATTTTTTAAAAAAAACCACATATAGTTTATACAATTAAGAATTGTTACTTAACATGCTTAAAATATATGTATAAGTGTGTATATTTTCAACAGTACCTGCTAAAGCAGATTTGATTCAGTTATGGGTGGGAAGAAGGTGATGGTATATATCAGAATGGATTGAAATGAGGAGAAAAACAGGTTGCTTACCTGTAACTGTTGATCTTCGAGTGGTCATCTGTGCATTCACACCCATGGGATACAGTGCGCACGCGCTGTATTGATCGGCAATGTAGCAAGCTCTTAATGGATTTTCGCGCCCATACCTCAGGCATGCACAGCAACCCCACCACACATGCCCAGAGGGGTGGGCGCGGACATCCCGCCAGTTCCTTCGAACCGCTGCAAATCAACCCCTATGAAAAATGTAGAAGCTGACAGCAGCGGGGAAGGAGGGCGGGTGGTGTGAATGCACAGATGACCACTCGAAGATCACCAGTTACAGGTAAGCAACCTGTTTATCTTCGACATGGTCTCTGTGCTTCACACCCATGGAAGATTAGCGAGCAGTGGCCTATCTGGAGGAGGGTGCTGGCTGGTCCTTACTGCGAAGCTGAGGATAAGATGTGACGTCCCATGTTGGTACGAGAGTTCTTATGGACATCTAGGGCGTAGTGCCTTATGAACGTGTTAGGCGTAGCCCACATAGTGGCTCTGCAAATGTCCATTAGGGGAACTCCCTGGAGGAAGGCAGTTGAGGCTGCAACAGCTCTGGTTGAATGAGCCCTGGTAGGGCCAGGCAATGGCTGTTTAGCAATAAGGTAGCAGTGGCGGATGAGACCTACAATCCACCTTGACAAACGCTGAGCCGTGATGTGAGTTCCCAGCCTTGCTGGCGCATAGGAGACGAACAGTTGACAGTCACATCTCGCTGGATTGGTTCTATTTAATGTTTAAGTAGAACAGAAGCGCACGCTTCGTATCCAAAGTGTGTAACAGCCTCTCCCCTGGGGATGTCGGAGCCGGGAAGAAATCCGGGAGGAAGACCTCTGCCTCTAGGTGAAATTCTGACACTACCTTTGGCAGGAACGAGATGTCAGGTACAAGGCAGACGCCGTCTGGCAAAAATGACAAGTAAGGAGTGTCATGTCTGAAAGCTAGTATTTCTCCAACTTGCCTTGCTGAAGTGACAGCGACTAGAAAGGCTGTTTTCCAGGACAGGAATTTTATGTCACAAGTTGCGAGCGGCTCAAAAGGTTTCCTGGTGAGTTGGGTGAAGGACCAGGGGAAGGTCCCAGGGGACGACAGGACTTTTGATGGGAGGGTAAAGGTGTAACAGTCCCTTCAAAAAACGTTTAGAAAGTGGATGCGAGAACAGTGTGCATCCCTCAACTTGAACATGGTATGCTGAAAGTGCGGCCAAATAAACCCTTAACGAGGAATGTGATAGTCCCGAGTCAGCAAAAGACAGGAGGAATTCGAAAACTTTCTCGAGACCTGCAGAGGTGGCTCAAGGGGCATCCTCACCCAAGGAGGAACAAAATTTTTGCCACTTGTAATGATATGACTTTCGCGTAGTGGACTTTCTGGAGTTTAGCAAGACATTTGCTATGCAGGCGGAAAAGCTGTTGACGCCACTCTCCAGGCTGTCAACTTCATTCGTGGCACATCATGGTATAGGAGAGGGGACTCGGTTAGGAACAGGAGGTCTTGTGCTCGATGGCTTCCTTCTTCAGAAGGACGGACACTTCTTCCAGGAGGGCTGGAGAAGGGGGTGTGGAGACGAAGACAGGAGTAATGGGGTTCTGAATGAATTCTATGTGGTAACCCTGGTTCAAGATGGACAGCACCCATTCGTCTGTGGTGATAAGACACCAAGTTTGGAGGAAGGGGGTTAGACGGGTTGGATGTGACATGGGAGTCAAAAACCCTGCTTTGCGGACTTTGCCTGCTTACTGCGGGAAGACTGGTGTCCTGATCCAAATCTAGGTTTCTGAAATGTGGGCTTCTGGCCTCCAGAGGATGTATGTGGCCTCCATTGCCAGGCAGGAGATTGTCGGTGTGGGGTGCGTTTTTGCCAGGGTCTAGACCAGGGACGAGGTCGGTATTGCTGCCTCGTGGATGAAGAAACGCTCAGAGCACGAGAAGCTTTAATGCTTTTATCCATATCTTGTAATATGGTGTCTGTAATACTATTAAACAGACCAAGACCATCGAAGGGGAGGTCCTCTACATATGACCTATTATTTGGCTGTAGATTGGTGTTACATAGCCAGGAATGTCTTCGGAGAGCTATGGCTGAAGCCATTGTCCTTGAGCAGGTGTCTAGGGCATGTTTAGAGGTATTAATTTGTTTCGCCAGCACCATGCCCTCCTGGATGATGTGGGCTGCATGATGCTTGTCTTCTGGAAGGTTTGTCAGAAGCTCGGAAAGCCTCTCCCACAAAGTGTATTGATATCTACTCATACATGCTAAGTAGTTGGTGGTCTTCACCCCTAGCGCTCTGGTAGAGTAGAAACGTCGCCCGAATGCATCTAGCTTTCTGCTCTCCCTGTCTGAGAGGACAGAATGGGTTTGTTTGGACTTGGCTGAGGAAGTTACCACCATCGAATTTTGTTGAGTATGGGCAAATAAGAATTCTGCTCCTGTTTCTTGGACTCTGTACATATGGTCCAAGCGACGTGTGGACACTGGAGCCGATGACGGTTTATCCCATGGAGCTTTAGCTGCCTGTAAGGACCGTGGACATGGGTAGTGCTATAGCCGTTGATGTGTCTAGCTGCAGGACATCGAAGACGGCATCTGTAACCTGTGGTTGTGGTTGTACGACGGAAAGGCCAAGGGAGTGTGCCATTCTTTTTACGAGGTCTCCATAGGAGGTTAAATTATCGGATGGAGATATAGGTTGGTCATCGGCTACTGCCTGGTTCAGTGAAGGCTGATCGGGGGAGCTGTGAACATCTGAAGCCCCCGTATCGGAATCCTCATCCGCCGAGTCAGAGCAATCGGGCTCTGGTAAATGTACCGGAGTAGTTTTGATCTGACCAGTCGGATCTGTTGATCGTGGGTTAGGGGGACTGGGAGGATGATATTGATCCGGTCGATGTCGAGGAGGGTCATCAGATGGATGATCCAGAGGACAGGAGAGAGATGCTGAAGGTCTTGATCTATAGGGTGACCGTGATCTGTGGGCAGAGTAACGATCCCAATCAAAGTAACCTGCTGGAGTCAACCACGGCATGGATGCGGGTGGATAAGCCCCATAGAGATAACGCAGTTGGCTGTGATCCCAGGAGAGAGGAGGGGGTGTTGGGGGCAGGAAGACTCGTGGGGATCTACTCCTAGAGCGGGAGCATCTGGGAGACAGTGTAGGATCTCGTCTCCATGCGCGGCCCCTATTAGCCCTATCATCGATATCGAAGGGCCGATCCTCGGCAAGCAGACGGGGAGGATGACATTGAGTGCTTTTAGGGATCTGTCGATGCCAATCTGGGTTGATACTGGCATGGCACTCCGAGATCATCGATGTCGATGACTGAGCAGAGGGAGAGCAATCCGTGCCCAGGGGACAACTGAGGATCTCGACATTATCGATGTCGGAGAAAGGACGCATATCGACCAGCGTGTCATGGTCTAGCTGGTGTATGGGAGAGTCCATTAGCTGGATGGTCGGTATCGGTGGAGCGATGCCTCCGATGCCGATACTGCCGTTGGAGCGGGGGGCACATTAGGGGCATTACCTGGTGCAGGACCCACTACTTTCCCAGACTTTGCCACCTTTAGGGCCTTAGAGGAGCCCTTTTTGGCTGACTTGTGCTCTTTACCCGACTTCTCCTTCTTTTTCATGGGAATTGATTTCAAAGCCTGCACCGTCAGTGCTGAACGCTTCGATGTAGAATGGACGATATCGGACGAGGACTTCGATACTGGAGCTGTCTGTGTCGATGGTCTTACGGGTACTTCTGGATCCATGACGGAAGCGGGATTTAGTGCCGATTCCAGTAACGCCACCCGGAGACACACCGCTCGGTTTTTCCTAGTCTGATTTGAAAACTTGGCGCAGTGTCAACAGGACTCTGGCCATTGCGTCTCGCCAAGACAAAAAATGCAAAGGGTGTGGCCATCAGGAGGAGCGAGCTTACTGCCACAATCCTTGCAACGCTTGAAAAAGCCCCACTTCTTCTCCATAAAATAAGCAAGATGGAGAAGAAAAAGAGGTGGTGGTGGGGGAAGCCCGAAGGCCAAAGTGAGGTAAATGAAAAAACTTCCCCCTTTCTTTTTTAAAAAAGAAAACAACAAATAAACAAGGGTAGAAGCAAAAAATAAAGAAAACTGAAGAGAAATCAGAAGAGCCTCTGAGGAAAAATAGCTACCGATCAGACCAACAAAAGGAAGGTGCTTCCAGCACGACGGAAAGAAAGGAACTGGCGGGATGTCTGCGCCCACCCCTCTGGGCATGTGTGGTGGGGTTCCTGTGCATGCCTGAGGTATGGGCGCAAAAATCCGTTAAGAGCTTGCTACAATGCCAATCGTTCCAGCACGTGCGCACTGTATCCCATGGGTGTGAAGCACAGAGACCACGTCGAAGATTGGTGTGTTGTGCAGCCCTCCTCCGCTTAAGACTGCTTTAGGGAAAGCTAGCTCATTAGACTGTAGGTAAAAGTAAAACCATGTGAAACTGAGAATTGGATGTTGGGGGAGCATTCGAACATGTAAACCCCACCTGCAGTCTGAAGTGATACAGCCTTTTTGAGCTCTGTCTCATAGTACTCAACATTTGACTTAGCGGGCATGTATCAAAATAAAATGGATTTCTTGAATATCAAAGCTTCTATACTCTTAATAGCTTTTCTTTCACAGAGAAAAGAAAAACTAATATGCTTTTGTGTGTGTGTGTGTTTCAGCTCTGGCTTTATGTGAAGCTGAAGTTACAAGAAGAAATTGTTCACAGTGATCTGTGAGAACTTGGATTTTCCCCTTTGTTCATAATACAAGCTAACTTGAAAACTGACCACTGCTTAACAAAGGAAAAGTATATTAAACTGTGTAATCAATAAGGCATATTGTAGGTTGATGTTGCATTAATTATATTTAAATGGACATTTTAAAGCAGCTATTGATATGCACTTAAGACTTTATGTACTCCTGGTCGAGTCACATGCACTTCAAGTGCAGTGCCAGAGATTGTTGTGCCATTAAGCAGTTTTCATTCCACTTATGAATGCTGTAGTACAGCAGTATTTAGTGAACATATATTGTAATGGTTTTGAAGAACCATTTGGGATATGTTTACTGTACACCATTTAACGTTAACTTTTGAAGCATTTACTGAATTGTATGAAATATGGTAAACCTGTTTAATAACGGCTTATTTTTTCTGACAGTACTTTTATAAATGCACTTTCTAGTTTTGTGATAATGCTAAACTTTCAAATTAAAATGGATCACGGTTAATTTCAATACTCCAGTATTCATGCAAGTCTAGCTGTCGCTTCAAAATGCATATTGAGAGCCAAGGTAGTTAAAGAGATGTCTTCTGCTTGAGCAGTTTTTTATTGTGATTCATTGTATGTTGCCAATACAATGGAGATTAGAAGTTAAAAAACAAAGCCCAGTTTTAATGTGTGTCCTGACAATTTAAATTCACTTTTAATGTCATACCTAAAATTCCCTGGATTAATGCCACCTTCCAGTTTTAAGACTTCACTGACTAAAACTGGATTGTTGGCTTTAAAATCGCTGAGAACAAACTAATACTGAATTCCTGTGTGCATTTACTAGGGAGTAAGTTCTTTTGAACTCAGTGGGGACTTGTTTCTGAGTAAACTTGTACAGAATTGCAATGTAAATGTAAACTATCATAGTTTAAAATAGTTGTGAATATTCTGCCGATTCCCATTTACTAATGAACAGCAGCTGTTACCCAAAGAGGCAGTCTCCTCTTTAATTGGGTGAAATTAGCTTGAAGGAGACAAGTGAGAGGGTTACTGGGATCTCCACCAATGTTTATGGGGATTTTCCCTTACAGAACTCTCAAAATAACCCAGAAAAGTTTTTATTGAAAAAGGAGTCAAATGGCAAAACACACTTAAAACACACAAAATGACAAGGAGGAAATTATACGGAGGAGAGGGAGAAAACGATTCAGAGAAAGCTGTACAATGACCAGTCTTGAAGAGTGAAGTCTGCGGTGGCAGCTGCAAAACAACCAGCATTTCATGGAGAAAGGAGAAGGGCCCACACGCAAGTGGGGGTGTGAGTTATAGCACTGAGAACACATGCACTGACTGATGTCTGTGTAGTCCAGATATAGAGAAAAATGCTGCCTGAGGGTGGGCTTATGTGTTTGCCCCCAAAACAGTACTTTGGTTCTTCGGAGATGGACAATGTGTTGAGAGAGGCTTGATGTATTTTACACAATGATTTGTGGGAAGCCTGATGGGTTTTTCCTGAGGTGGACTAAAGGTGTAAATGGCTCTTAATGACCTCACAATTACTGGATGGGAAAATTACCAGGTTTGGGTGGATAGGGTAAAGTGTTACTAAATTAGGGTAAATGGGCAAGGAGGGGAAATGAAGCTGGAGTTGATGGGATTTAGACCAAGGTCAGGGCATGGCTTCTTGGGAAATGTATTGTCCTTAATTATGCATCTCCTTAGGGTGGGGAGGGTCATTAGTCAGCTACTTCTGACTTGCCTTCAAAAATTTTCCAGGGCTTGGCTTCTGACTGGCATCCATTTTGTGTAATTTTGGGCCAGACAGTGTTTCATATTTATGATTTTTGAGGTGATATTTGTGTGAGGGGTGTTCATGCCTCTTTCTCTCTGTCCACTAAACTGCCCCTATGTGGGAGAAGGGGTCTGACTGCTAACAATCCCCCCTAACAAAGGAAATATGACATCGTTTTATGGCATCGTTCTGTCTTAAATGGAGAGGCAAATCAGGATGGATGTCCCAAGAAAGGAAAGGGAAACAGGAGGGAGCAATGAGGGTATTTTTTAAGAGAAATAGGGACCGGGTCATCAGCTAAAAAAATGTGTTTGGGGCAAAAACTAAAACAGACCAGTTCATAAGAAAACAAAAGGAATTTTTCTTTGTGTGTTGCATTATTTCTGAACCGAAGCTGCTTTTGCTGCAAACCAAGGGCAAGGAGGGATAAGGATTCCCTATCTACAAATCAAATTTTTAATAAAACAAACAGCCAAATAACAAGCTATTGTAATAAAGCAAAGGAATTCCTAACTGAGTAGATACTAAATGAACCAAGCAAAATGAAGCAAATGAATTAGCAGATAAAACACTGACTTAAAGCAAATGAACTGACCACATGATCAAATGAATCAAATAAAAGTTACATACATGAAACACAGGTAATTTGTGTGAGAGGGAATGTTTGATAATCAACCCCCCTCCCCATCCAAAGTGAAATACAGAGTTTGAAAAGCATTTTGAAGTCACACACACACCCTGGACAATCTGGACAAGCATCAACCCCCCACCCGGTATTCCAGGACAGCATCTGTGGCGCCATAGGGTGGTGGTTGCGGCTGGCTGCAGATGACTGGTTGCTGGCAGGCAGGGGTTTATACTGGCAGGATCCAGATTTGGGGCTCATGCTGCTGCAAAGCCTGCTGGCTATGCAGATTAGGATGACATGCTCAAAAACTTGAATGAAAAGTGGCAAAAATGGCTAAAAAGAAACTAAAAAACCCCCACGAAAGTGGACTCTGAGTTCTTCTGAGGCTATTCAAAAGGCTGATTATTGACACTTGTCACTATAACTCTTTGGATGACTGAAAAGAGGAGGACCCTGAGGAAAATGCTGGACTTCTTCATACGGGGAGAGGGTCAAGCCAAAAAGAAAAGCAGACAAAGGAAAAATTAAAACAACACTGGGAAGCAGCAGAGGTGGGCAGCCTAGGATGGCCCAGGCTTGCTCTACCTTGCCAGCTCACCTAAAGTTTCTAGAGGGGTGATCTGGTGTTTCAAATGCTGGGTGAGAAAAATGTAAAAATAAAAATCCTTCTTGGGGTTTGTTTTTGAGTTGAAAGATCCTCTAAGGAAAATGATTAGAATAGCTAAGACAGAACTAAAGAAAGAGCATAAAACATACATCAAGCAAACAACTCCCGATTTTACTGAGTATCTGACATCCCTACTGAACAAATTATTCCAGAGGGCGTGCACCTTTTTTCCACTCCCCCTTGCTTCAGAAGGTGGGAGGGATCACCCCTGTCACAGCTTAATGAGCCATGAAGTTCTCAGCTAGCTTAAGTAGTGATAGGGCAGACGTGTGGCTCAGGCCTG